ATTGTTACGTGGAAACAATTATTTTTTTTTTGCTTTCTTTTTTTTTTTTTTGGATCAACAAACAAGAAAAATCAATTACAAGAGCATATAATCAGTTACAAGAGAACACAAGAAGGATAGGCCATTTTGTAGTCTCTATGGATATTGTGAATACTCGTCAAAAGCTAGGTTAAATAGCAACTGTCTCACTCTCTCAGAAATTAAGAGATTGTTTAGGATGATCTAAATAAATGTATTTTTTGATTTTTTATAAAAAGATGTGTAAAAAAGTGAAGAAGTGATATGATGGAAAAAAGATAAAAAGATAGATTATTTAGGAAATGTCAAACCACCTCTAACACTTTGGTGGGTTTTTTTTATTACAATTTAGGGCGAATTATAACGGTCCCTATAGTTTGGGACTTGTGTCACTTTGATCCTTAACTTTTCAATTGTGATACATTTGACTCTGAATTTTGAATCGTGTTCCAAATAAAGATAATTGAAAATACCATTACTCAATTTTAATGGCAAAATCGTCAATTTAATAAAACATAAATGGATTTGACAAAAATAAATGTCAAAAAAATATTTTTGAATTTTTAAAAAATATTTCTACCCACCAAAGATAAAATTATGTAAAATTGATAAATCTTTAACACATTTATTTATTTATTGATTGATTTTATCAAATTAATTTTTATTCTGTGTTTGGATGATGATTATGTAATGGGTGGTTGTTAAGTTTTTAATGTATAATCTATATATTTAATATATGAAATATTTTTAGTTTTGAATTTTTTTGATTTAATGGATTGGTTTAATAATGATATCAAAGTTGTCGCTATATTTGACTTTTGAAAAAATAGAAACTAATTTAATGGAAATAAAAACAACCACCCATTACATGATCATAATCCAAACACATAATAAAAATTAATTTTGGTACAATAAACAAATAAATAAATTAATGTGTAAAAAATTTATCAATTTTACATAATTTTATCTTTGGTGAGTAGAAATAATTTTTAAAAATTCAAAAAATATCTGTTTGATATTTATTTTTATCAAATTAGTTTATATTTTATTAAATTAGCGATTTTGCTATTGAAATTGATCAATGGTATTTTCAATTGTCCTTAATTAGAACAAAATTCAAAATTTAGAGACAAATATATTACAATTAAAAAGTTATAAACCAACGTGATATGAGATCTAAAGTATAGAGACGGTTAACAATTAAAAAGTTACAAATCAAAGTGATACGAGATCCAAACTATAAGAACTGTCATGGTAATTCGCCATACAATTAGGATCCTGGTGGGATTCTAGTGACAGTTTGTTTGTTACTGACCCAGTCTCAATTATATAAAAAATTCTTATTTTATTTTCGGTAACCGATGTTCACATTAGTAGTTTTGCAATCTGAAGAATGCTAATCGACCGACCCAAGAACAACTAATCAAAAGCACAAATCAATTTCTACGATAAATCAAATATATATATATATTTTAATTTAGATGGGCAAACAATATGCACTAAAATAAAAAGAAAGTATGAACTACAATGTTAATTTCTACTATCATAACAAATAAGAAATAATATTAAATATATATATATATCACTAAACATATTTTTTTGTATTCATGTAAACTTACAAAAACATAATTTTGTATATTAAATTAAATTAAATAATACTTGATTGTGTCACACAAAAGAGAGAAAGTCTAAGAATTACTGGTGTAACTTGTACTAAATTAGGATAAATTATACTCGTGATCTCTGTAATTCACTTCTTATATTAATTTAGTCATTGTATATTCAGTTGTAGTAATTTTTCCTTTTTTTTTTTTTTTTTTTTATTTTTTTTTTTTTTGGCATTGTGTTAATTTAGTACTTTTTTTTTTCCAACCTAGATTTACTGCAAAATTTGGGAGAGGTTTCTAATATTAGGTTTATGAGTAACTCAGCCTTGATCAATCTTAAACTTAAAAAATAAATGTGTAATTCAGATTTAATTTTTTTTTTTATAATAAGACATATATTTGAAATGAATTTAAGCAACACAATACCTTTTGAAGATATTTTTTAGAAGAACTTGGACTATCTCCAGTTGAGCTAGTCAATTGAACAGTCCAGTCCGACCCATTATGGGCCAATTTTGAGTTCATCTTGACGATCCAAACTGTTCAATGTATAGGGCTCATCGAGTACTTCATCTCTACAAAAAAATTATCACATTGATCGGATATCAATAGCTATTTGATCAGGTAACATTTGTGTAAACAATTTATTGTTAAAATCATAGTTACCACTGACACAAATTTAACCTGATCAAGTGATTATCGACATTCAATCAACGTGAGTTTTTGCAGGGATGAAGTATTTGACAAGCTCTACATATTAACAGTTCGGATTATCGATGTAAGTTATATGGTAGGTCCACGGAAGCCCAACAACACGACATTGCCTTTTTAAAATAACCTTTACGGGTTCCTATAATATCATTAAGGAAAAAGTTTTGAAATCCACAATTTAAATATCACAATTACACCTACAATGATACAGTAAATTGTGGGTTATCTTTGAATTTAGTGAAATTTTCATTTTATCCCAAAACTTAGCCACAATGATCAATTACACTCCCAGACTTCAAATAATTTCATTTTTACCCCCAAATTTTTTGAAATCGTATCAATTTGCCCCTACCGTCACATTTAAACGGAAAAAGTTAAAAAATTACATTTTGACTCCAAATTTTAAATTATAGATTCAAACACACCCTCTCCTACACCATGCTTGGCCACCTCTTTGAGATATATATGTGGTAATTTCTTAGGTGTAATATGGGATGATCATATGCATCTCAATTGCTTATATAACTTGTTAATTGTATCTCTCACTGGGCACTAGCTCACCCCAAAACTAATCACCTTTCAAGAAATGATGTTGAGGCGCAACCTAAATGATTGACTTGGGAAGAGATTTTGGATGAGGGCATGGAAGCTCTCTTTTGATGTTTGATGTTCAAGCCACATGCTATTTTTGTATGAAAATTTAGACTCTATTTTGTGTATTCAAGGACACTCCTTGAAAATATGTTTGCATTTTTGGCTCTTTCTTTGTATCATCTCTTGTCTTTTGAATTATTTTTATTTTGTGGTAGATGTAAACAGATAATGGTGCAATCACTGGAATAGTTCAATGGGAAAGAGATAATCATGGAATTTTATTAATATTATTATGGATTTACTCTCTCTCTCATTTCTCAATATTTGATGACCCATGGTGAACATGTTTGATTGAGGTAATTTTTCCGGGGGCATTACATAGGGGGTTTGATGAAGATGTGGTTGACAGTGGTGGTGGGCGATGATGGTGAGCATGAAGATAAGAAGATGAGAATGAAGAAGAAGGAAGAAGAATGAGGGTTGCTGGTGAGGATGAAAATTGGAGGGGCGGTGATGGCAGATTGAAGAGTGGTCGGATTTGCTGAAGAAAAAGAAAAGGGTTGCTGGTGAGGATGAAAATTGGAGGGGCGGTGATGGTAGATTGAAGAGTGGTCGGATTTGCTGAAGAAAAAGAAGAAAAAGAAGAAGAAGAAGAGAGAGAAAGAGAGAGAGAGAGAGAGAGAGAGAGAGAGAGAGAGAGAGGCTGCTGACTGGAATTGAGGTGGAGGTGGAGGTGGAAGGTAATTAGGGTTAGGGTTAGAGTTAGTGTTAGGGTTAGGGTTAGGGTTGAAAGGATAGATGTAACACCCCTAAAATAAATGACATAAAAAACCCAATAATTCATCTAATCAATGAGCTTGAGTTTCCATTTATCAAATCTCAACAATCGTATTCATTTATGAAAGAGATTTATAAAAGGAGCCTACATGCAATACATATTCAATCTTTTCTAAGTTGAATCCATAGCATGTGCAACAATTCTTAAACAAAAAAATAATCAACAAAAGGAATGCCTCAAGGGCTACAAGTTCCAAGGCTTAAGTCTGGTTACACAAAACTAGTTAACAAACCTGTACAATTTTGGTGGATGTATTTTAGAGAGAGAGATGTGAGAAAAGAAGAAAGTGAAATATAAAGAGAGAGTGTGAAGTGAAAAGTGAGGGAGAGATATGTAATGACTCAACTTTTAAGTGATTGAATATATTTTTTGGAGCAACCTGCAGATAGACCGCTTGAGCGAACAATACTACGCTCAAGCGAAGAATTCAAACTCCCAGAATCTCTCCCTTTTGTAAGCAGACCGCTCAAACGATGAAACCTTCGTTTGAGCAAAGAATACATACTCCTAGTAGTTGAACAAGATACTGGAAGGAAGATGTCACTACTCAAGCGACGAAAGTATTGCTCGAGTGGTCTCAATTCAAAAGTGAGACAACAGTAACCTTAATGCATTTCCACCATTTCTGGATTCACTCCAACGCCCAAAAATGCAAAATGACACCCTGGATCACACTAGGATAAACATGAACAACTAGGGAAAAAAAGAAATAGATAACAACACGAAACTTGAAAGGCTCAACAATAGCAAGGATGTTCAAAGAAATAGAAATTTTAAATTAAAATACTCCATTTGTTTTTAAAAAGAACTTATGACATTACAATAGAGACGGATAAAAGTGAAAATTAGTGTCGGGGCAACATTGTAATAAATAAATAAATAAAAGAAATAAATAAAAAAAAGAAGAGGAGAGGGACTAAAGAAAAAAATTAAGTGCTAATAATAGCACTTGTCTTTTAATTAATTATATATATATATATATAATACATATAAAAAATTCACTTTAAATTTCAAAACTGTCAAAGTCGACCAGCCGGTTAGGATTCATTATTTTTCTTTTTGTAATATCTTCTTAAAATGTCTCATTCTTACCTAACTTAAAAGTCATTGGGATTGCACTTTCTAGGAATCATACTCACTTTGCGGTTATGATTGTTTGCACTTTCTAGGAATCATACTCTAAAGAGGGTTTTGATAAAAATGACACATGGCATATCAACCCTATGTTACTGACACTACAGGAAATTAGAGATTTTACGGCGTTTAATTAACGACGTTTTATGAAACGTCACTTTTTTAAATAATTAACGGCGTTTTTAAAACGTCGCTTTTGTTGTTAATCAAAACAGCCCCGTTTTATGAATAGAAGACGCTTGGAAGCGCCTCCAAATGACGAACCCTATTTTGTCTCTCCACACCTTTATTTTGAAAACCCACCGCCGTCAAGTTCGAAGTTATCACTCACTCAAATCTCTCACTCTCTTGCTCTCTCTCGATTCTTCTTCAGAGCGATTGCGATTTCTAAGTTTCTCAGACCCAACCTATCTGCAACCGTATGGCTTCAATCTCGTAGTTTCTCAGAGCGATTGCAATTTCGAAGTTCGATTTTGAGCACCGCCGTCTACAATCTCAGAAAAACCAATCGAATCCTTCAAAATCTGCTTCAGCTCCGTGATTTCGAAGTTCGATTTGGAACTCTTCATCTCTTCAATCAGAGGTTAGTGCTTTCGGTCCTTTGTTTTACAATCTCAGAGCTCTACAATCTCAGAACTCTAGATTGTGCTTTCGATCCTTTGTTTGGTTGCTGAGAAAACTTCTCATTACCTCTGAAATAACATCATATATTTGAAAAAAATCTTAGTTGTTCTCTGCTTTTGACTTCTCACTTTCTTCCCATGCTTTGATTAGGGATAACCTTTTTTACCAGTTATGGACGAGTAAATTTATTCATTTTCTAAGTTTATTCAGCTCTAAACAGTGCAATTCTCATAGGCATTATGTAGTTCATAGGCATTCGTAAACAGTGCAATGCTTTGATCCAGGTATTCGTGAGTCTGTATTCTTTTGATTCGATTATGTCCTCTCTACATTTCCTCAATTCATCGCTCTTCTTTCTTCTCCTTTCTCACGTGTTCATAATTTTACTACTTTTCAACTCTTTTTTTTTCTTTTTTGAGTTTCGGTTGAGAGTTTCTAGTTTTAATCTCGGTTCTCGAGAAAGAAGTGAAACTTTAATTGATTTTAATTGTATAGATCGATCGCAGAAAAACACTACACTTTCGGTGCAGAGTTGAGTCGGAAAAATGAAATACCTGCTTCAAGGTCAGGTGCTCATTCACTTCCTAAATCCAATAAGAATAATGTGCTCAGTACAAGCCACTCAAAGCATAATCAGATTGGTCAAACAGGTATACGTCAATTTTTGCTGGTCATACTAGACCGTTTGTTGAATCAAATTTGTTGCCCGCATCAGAAAAAAATGGATTTGTTCAAAGAATAATTAGATTGGCTAACCAGGTTATTATTGTAACAGTATTAATTTTTAAAGGCATTGAATCTGTAATAATTTGTTTAATGTTTATTTGTAATAAATGAAATTGATGTGTCTCTCTGTGATCTGTAACTTATTTTTTCTGCAGATATATATTGTTCAAAAGAGTGCAAGAATACAAGACCCCTTTAAAAATACTAAAAGTTCTTCAAATAAAGCAAAGGCTGGTTGTGATTCCTCATCTTTGTCTGCAAAATCACCACTTCAGCATCCTAGAAGGAATATGGTAAGACTCCAAAAGATCTTTTGACTATTGGCTTAGTGAAACATCGTCATAGAATTTATGGGTTTATGTGTGGCTAACCTTTATGCTATATAAGTTTCTTGCTTTAGTGTTTTGCTGTCATTTTGATTTTGGAAACAATCATCACACATTGGTCTTTGCTTTGAGCTTTTCTCAAGATGTTTAGTATATGAAACAAAGATCATATTGCCTTAGAAATGAAGCTTTCTGAACAAGGGATTGCCACTTTGTTGCCAATATCCCTAAAGTGAACAAGCAAAAATCAAATGATTTCACCTTCTTTTTTTTTTTCTTTTTTTCTTGCCTTTTCTTGAGAATCAAACATAACTTAGTAGCAACAACCTTCTTTCACACCCCTCACAAAGAGAAAACCAAGTCACCTACCTTAATCATAAGTCATCATTGTCCCATTTCCTTAATCATTCACCATGTGGTTGAAAAGATTTGGCCTGTTTGTATGGAGCCCATTGTTTCACAGAAAATTCTCCTCCCTAGCATACCTTGGTTCTTGGAGAAGTACAAACCATGGACTGTGGTACGAGTCTACCGTCCTAAATACGATTAATTGCTGTCCTTGTTCCATTTTTCTGGTTCAGCATCTGTATATGGGACGATCACCTCCTGTGTTCACAGAAATGAGGGTTCTTCATCAAACCACTGATCACGACCACTTGGTATGTAATACTGTCTTAGTCATGGTGGATTTATGTCAATAATGTTCTAGATGGTGTACTGCTCAGAGATGCGAGAAAACAAGTATGGAGGAAAGACTTTATTGAATGGAAAAAGTTTTAGGTTCTGGAAATACTCAGCTTCCTCATCTGTTTAATGCGTTAAATTGACAGTTTTCAGTTTGTAATGTTCATGGCATTCAATATGAAAAACTTTATTGAGAAGGAAAGAGCAAATTTTGTTTGCTTGGTGTGAAATATGGAAATGCATCCCTTTAGTTTCACGGGAAGTATGAAAAAGATGCTTAAAGATGACTTTCAAACCTTAGTGGACATTTAAGGAGTCATTTGAACCTGAAAATCTTCTGCAAATGGGAATTATGGTATGCCCCGATTTATTGGCCTTCATTGAGAAGATGAAGTGGAAAATGTTCACTGTGAAAAAGAAGCAACAAACAACATCTAGCCTCCTGGAGCAGTAATGATTTTGTCCAAAATGTTCTAAGCAAAGCATATGTGGTCTCAGTTGCACAACAGAAATGATCCACTCAGTTCTGGATTGGAATGGGAGTGAGTTCTTTGGAGCCTTCTTTTATTTTCTTTTTGGGCGTTGGGGAAGGATGAAATTCTCTGTTTTTCAAATTGCACAATAAGGGATGTAAGCTGGGAAATTTTGTTGGCTGCCTTTACTTAGATCACACTCATGAATGTTAGTTGTCATTTTTCCAGTGTTGTAAAAGTGTATATAACCAGAACATAATTTGGGGTGTGTTTTGTCTTTCGTTTATGTATGGGATTCACCTTTGTGGCCTAAATGAAATACTTTCTGGAAGCTTTTGGAAAGCTGTATTTGATGTCTCAACTGTTAGAGCCTTAGACCATATTAGTTTACCGGTTATTTTCTCCATTTATTTTGAATTTCTCAGATATTATCTTAGATAGAGCGTGCAAATTATAAAGCTTTACGCTTTTAAGACAAATTCTTGCAGCACACAGCTCATTTTGGCAGCCTTGAAGCTGAGAGTGACTGTTTACTTTTGGTCTCCTTTGAGGCTGTAGTTTCTATTGCTCTACGGCTGACTTTTGGATTGTTCTTGCAAAATATGTGAAGTTTTTCTCTTATCCCTTTTTTCCTTTTGTTGAATATCACATATGATATTCTCATAAGAATCTTTAAGTATAACCCTGTTTCATGATTTCTTGTGTCTTTCGATTTCTAGTCCTGAAGATTTTGGATCAGAAGTGTATGGCTATGCTCAGCACTGTCACTCGTTGCCAAGACATGATAACGTATGCTACATGTTTTTCAACTCATGCTATTCTTTAATAGTATAATTCACTTAAGAAACTTTTGAATATCTGTGCTATGCTCAAGGGTGGATCACAAATAGTTCCTTTATATTAATAGTGCCGTGAGAAAAAATTGGATGAGGTATGCATCGGTTTTGAACAAATAATTTTTTATTTCTGGAATCAGATTTGGGTTCTTACAGGGGACAAGATGGAAACAACCATTAATATAGCTTATGGTTAGTATTTAAAAGAGTTTTGGCATCATTTATAAAAAAAAATTCTTACTATAGATATGTTGTTTCCTTATTTATTTATTTATTAGTAACAACTTAAATCATATTTCTCTGTTTTTCTTTGACTCAGCATGCAAGTTGATTGATAATGACATGAAACAGTTTATTATCAGTTCAGAAACTGATGAAATTAGAGAAGTAGAAAGCAGAGTAAGGAGCTTTCTTGTCTGGTTTGATTTTTCATGTAAATACATCAAATTCATTTTTCAGAGCGTTCAATTCAATATGTTAAAGAGAAATTTAGGGAACACAATTCCAACCACATCCCCCACATGCCCTACATGCAGGTATGTGTAAGGGTCGTGGTTAGAGTTGTGTCTCTAGAATTATTGTAATTTAAAAGTTGCTTTAAATTCTATGGCCAGGGTGACCATACTGGGTTTATAGTAATTTCTCTTAATGACCAACTATTTGCTATGTATATTTTTGGTAGGGTTTGGACTTTGGAGCTGGAAATTGGCTTACAAGTTTGGGATTAAAGTTTTAATTTCTTTTCTTTTTTTTGGGGACATGTTTTTCAATCCCAATTTTAGGGAATCAATACTGTAAATGATACTGGGTTTATAGAAATTTACTTCACAAGATAGGGCTTTTAGCTTTTGATCGATTCTCAAGTTCTAAATACTGTATGGTGTTTGATGTGGGTGTATAGGGACAGGGAAAAACCCACAAAATACACAAAGGACAGTCGCTATTGTGGTGGGAGGAGTGGCTGGTTTTGGGCTTGGAATTGCCTGTTTCTTGTTTCTAAAATCAGCTTTTAAGAAGCGAGAAAACAAGCATGGAGGATGATGATGAGGTTAGTTTCCAACCTTCTACTACTCTGTTTTCTTCTTTTTTTCTCTGTTTTTTAAATTTTCAAAATGAAAATATTCCTCTTGCTATGAAGAATTTATTAAATTTTTTGTTTACAGTTTGGTATTTTGTGTGTGTGTATGTGTTGTGTGTGTGCAGGGTGAGACTACTACTATTATGTGTTTAGCTGCTAAGTTGGAGAGGTGTAATGTAAAAGAGAGAAGTTTTACTTTTTTGACTCTGTTTTGCATTCAGATATTTCTTCTCCACCTAGTTCCTTTTTCATTAGTTTTCTTTCTTTCAAACCAAACAGCCCTATCTGTCTAAAAAAATACACATTTTAGTCATAGTTGGCCTTTTTCTTTTGAATGTACATGCACAGATTGAAATATATATATATATATATATATATTTGTGAATAGTAGCTTTTAGTTGGCATTAAAGGTTTGTTCTCCACTTTACTACATAAAGAGCAATTATTAGGTAATTAAACACACATGTTCAAGTGAAATTGTGTTGCCAAGTGATAGTCAATAAAAAAACCTTTGTTTTTACCAGTTACTCTAGTGACTAATCTCCAAAAAATTAGGTTTACTCTAGCAAAGAAGCAGGAGCATATTAGGTAATTAAAAATCTATTGTACCTTTTACCTTTACCTTTTACATTGGTTTGGTCATATCATGTATTTAGTTCTTAATCTCATCAAGCAATTAAAATTTGAACTCTGGTATATGGATTTATCGGATCCATTCTGTTTTTGATGATCTTGGGTCCAGAGCTCTTCTAACTTTCCTCAATTCCACCATGAATGCTATTGAGGTACTACTACTTTCCTCTTCTATTTCTCACATTCATTTTTGTTTGTTTGTTTGTTTGTTTGTTTTTTTTTTTTTTTTTGTTTTCCCCATATGAATTCAGTTAGATTCACACTATTTCAACTTCAAGATGCAATTCAAATTACTCTTTGATGTCTTGTGAATTTTGAAATGGCTGTTTGGGTTAAAAAAAAAAAGCAAAGAGTTTTGTTCTTAGTTTACAATTTCACAGAAATTATCACTAAAAGCACATGTAAAATTCAAATATCTGCTGTGTGGATTGAAAACTATGTAGAAAATTGCTTATTTTCTCTTTAAAAGCTTTCTGTGAGTGTAGTGTATCATCTTAAATTTAATAATGTGATATCTGAAGATTGTTCTCTTTATGTTGAATTGTAATGTGAGTAGGGAATCACTGGAATGGTTGGGCTTTCTTGATCTAAGAAAAGGGTTATCAAGATACTTCACGATGTCAATGGAATCATAAAACTGTCCAGGTTGGTTCATGAATTCCTCAATTTTAGATTAATGCTACTTGATTGATTGATCTACTGGAAACTAGAAAGTTTTGGTCTCCAAAAATATAATCCAAATGCCTTCATTTTATTTTTTTTCTTTGTGATTTTAGAAATGAATACCATATAAAGTTCAAAACACCTAGTTTTCTGGGGTCATTTTTAATTTAGGTGAATCATTCGATAGTAGAAAGCTTCGCTCAACGCGGGAGGACGTGCATAACTTCGCGGATATATCCAACGAAGGCCATCTATGAGGATGCAAAAATTTTCTTGTTCAACAATGCTACTGAGGCCAACATCATAGCCTCCCTCAAGATTTGGCAAATGGACTCTGCATATATTCATTCCTATCCTACTGAACTCATAATGTAAAAAAAAAAAAAAAAACCACTTCTAATGCTCAATCATGTCTCTCCATTGCTCTCTACTTCAGATTGTGTCCTGTCATTTTATCATCATTTTGTGCAGAAAAAAAGAAAAAAAAAAAGTAGAGTAGCGCATGAATTGATCTAGTATTATGTTTACTTAAATTTAGTCAATATATTATATATTTTTCATCTTTATAAAAGGTATTTTTTTGGGGTTAAATCTCATAGAATTAGCACAAATATTTTTTTTGTTTTTTTAAAAAAATGAAGTTATAACGGCGTTTTTAAACGTCACTATAGAATACCAACGGTTACATTTTGAAAATAAAATTGACCTATCACGGCGTTTTTAAAACGTCGATAAATGAGTAGTGACGTCATTGTACAATTATGCAGCACATTTAGCGGCGTTTTTAAAAACGCCGCATATACTGATATAGCGACGCTTTTAAAGCGTCATAAAGCTACAGCGACGGCCGCAGCTTCGGCGTTTGGTACTAAACGTCACAAAAA